TAACTCATAATTGTATCAAACAAATGACAAACCTGTTTAGTTTGTCACTCTATGGTCATTTAATGAACACTTTGGGCTAATTAGACCGGGACCTATAGTTTAACGTGCATTCTAAACAACTATCAAAACATTAAAGCCATTGCCAGGATTCAAACCACTAAAAATCATCCATGTCACCGGCAGGATTTGAACCTGAAGTCCGTGGTACCAATGACCAGAGCGCTAGACAATAGGCCATCAGACCACGTGTCAAACCAGCAAAGTCATAACTTAATCAATGACAAAAGTGCCGTATCTGAATATTGTTTATCATTATAAGTGGCAATAGTCCAGAGGAAGAAATTACTAAACATTAATCCCATCATTGTGTATTTATTCATTATTATCTATTATATTATTTCCTATTTTTTCTTAAGATGAAAAAATATATGTATTAAAAGAGATGATAAATCATTCAAAAAAACAACAATATAAAAATTGAATGGATAAAAGCTCATAGAGGGCTCATAGGCAATGAATATGCAAACAAATATGCTAAGGAAGCAACCCTTAAGAATCAAATTGACGTAAAAGTTAACTTTAAAATATCTCAAATAAAAAAATTCCTAAACAAAAACATAGACAGAGTTTGGCAACAGAATTGGATTCAGTCCACAAAAGCTAGAGCTTTATATGAAATTTTCCCTAGAGTCAATAGAAATAGAATATGCGGTGACTTCTTTATAAATCAGATTTTAACATCACATGGAGTCTTCGCTATATATCAATCCAGATTCTTTTCTAAATCCAGCGCATGCCAATGTGGCGAAGCCGAAGAAACTAGACATCATCTTATTTACATTTGTAAAATTTTCAAAAAGGACCGAGAAAACTTTCCCTCAAACTATCTTCAACTATCAATCAGACAGCTTCTAAACTTTAATAAAGTGAGAATAATAGTAAAAGGAATTTTGCAGAAGAGATTACAACAAAACCTGGATAACACCTAAAAAAAAAAAAAAAGAATTTTGTTTTAAACAAATAACTAATTGCTTATTTGTTTTCCTTATTTTTTTTTTTTTTTCTTGTGAAAATTCACAAGTTTTTCTTTTGTAGAGTAGATTCTCTACTTTGTACTTTGTATTTTACATTTGTTACTTTTTTCTCTTGTGTAATTCTCACAAGTTTTTTTCGTAGAGAAAGATTCTCTACCTTGAATTGTATTTGTATTTGTATTTTTGTAAAAAAAAAAAAAAAAAAAAAAAAAAAAGGTGTTGTCACCCGTGGTGATGATGAATTTTCCAGTCAGTCTTCAAACATTTACTTTCGGCCTAGTCTTTATACGGAAAGTTTCCGTAAACTGCTTTTTTCTAGTAAATTTATACATTTTTTTTTGCCAAAATTATTAATTTTCGGAAAAGTTTTTCTTCGTAGTATTTATTTACTTTATAGGGACGTACAGTTCGGGATTACTGTCGCAACCCCGGTCTGAAGTACCGAGTGCCCAAGGGCGGATCGGCGATAAAGTAATAATTAATATTCTTTCCTACCTTAAAATTCAAAACAACAGATTATTGCATGTGTTACTAAACATCGCTTTACCCGACTAAGTAAAGTTATTAAGCATAGATTTGCCAACTCATAACAGGGTTATTAAAATCTACTTTACCCAATTCGAAACAGGCTATTAAGACTGTCTTTGCCCAATTCACAACAAGGTTATTAAACGTCGATTTGCCCAACTCGTAACAAGATTACTAAAACTTACTTTGCCCAATTCATAACAGGTTACTAAAGATGTCTTTGCCCAATTCGAAACAAGGTTATTTAATATCGCTTTACTCGATTTGTAGAAGGGTTACTAAGCATTGTTTTATCCAACTCGTAGCAGGGTTATTAAAACCTACTTTGCTCAATTCATATCAGGATTACTAAACATCGCTTTGCCCAGTTTAAAACGAGATTACAGACGATTCTTTGCAGACTCATAGAAGAGTGTTGTTGTTGTTTCTTATCCCACTTGGCTGGCCAAGCCCACGCGCCCATACGTACTCATGATTGAAGGGGAAGGAAGCAGCTTCTGTTGTGATGGAGCACCCGTAGGTACAAGTCTGACTTTGGCTCCGTGACGCTCTTACAGTCGTAGGAGACCGGGACCTACGGCTTAAAGTGGATTCCGAACCACTACAAACATCCATGGCACCACCGGGATTCGAACCCGAAACCTGTGGCACCGAGCATCAAACACTCGGTCATTCAGGTCCCAAATTTGCTAACGGCACGCGGTGTTCCCAGGTGGTCACCCACCCAAGTACTGACCGCGCCCAATGATGCTTGACTTCGGTGATCTAACGAGAACCGGTATATTCAGCATGGTACGGCCATTGGCTATTCATAGAAGAGTTGCTAAGCATTGCTTTGCCCAAATCCCAGCAAGGGTATTAAAACATCGCTTCAAACTAGAAAATGTCAAACATGTCAAACTCATTCTTGTTCAACATGTCAAACAAATTCTGACTTGCGATGTTTAGTAATCCTGTTATGAATTGGGCAAAGTAGGTTTTAATAATACTAATATGAGTCGGCAAAACTATGCATAGTAACCCTTCTACAAATCGAGTAAAGTGATATTAAATAAGCTTGTTTCGAATTGGGCAAAGCCATCTTTATAATCTGTTATTTGTCCAACTCGTAACGGGGTTACTGAGCATTGCTTTGTCCGAATCGCAGCCAGATTTGCCCAACTCTTAGTAGGTTATTAAAACTTACTTTGTCCGGTTCATAACAGATTACTAAACATCGTTTTGTACAACTCGTAGAAGGGTTTCTAAACATCGTTTTGCCCTATTTATTTTAAGGTTGATGCAATATAAGTGCAGTATAACTGGTTAACTTAGTCTCTTTTGGGTAACATTGAATCTCCAACTCTATAACTACCCTTCTAGTGAATTACTCCATATTGAAGTGCCCGGCATTTGAGAACAATGATATTTTAATTTTAAAAAAAATCAAATATCGAAAAAAACAGTGCTTTAAAATACATATTTCACATTTTATATTTAAATGCACTTACTTTTAGAGCATCCTCGTTGCTTGAATAATCAACTGGTTCGCAACGAAGTTCATACTTGTTGAACCATCCGTACACGCCGAACTAAAAATTTTTAAAAATCATTAATTAATATGCGGATTTAAGTGCAGTGAAAATGTGATCCATGTTAATAGGATTTACCTAATGTTATCAAATTTTAACTGATCTCAAAAAGTTGACAAATTGTAGTATGCTTTAAATAGACTTTCGATACATGAATACATAAAAAAATATACACTTGTACATAAGCAGAGATAACAGGATACTAATTTGCTTGTATATAAAGAAGAATGATATGCATGCACCCCAGTAAATATAACCTGGTACCAATCTAATCGCGTGACAATAATATTAATAGCGTACCTGATATTCGTGTTTTATAATACACGGTTCCATTTGCAAGCATTGCGGATACTATGGATTAGGTTGCATTGCTTTTTTTTTTGGATTATATTATGTATTTTATGGATTATAAATTTCTACGTATTTCAATTAAATATGCCAGTAATATAACTAAATATAAAGTATGATTGAATATAAAGTTTTATAATTGAATATGAAGTGTGTTCTTGGAATACAGTTACTGAATTAATTTAAGGTTAGGTATAATTTAAAAACAAATGAAAATTTTAGACAGTTAGGCACCATAAATAAAATGAAGTCCATAAGAATTGTAATTGCTTGATTACGCTATATAATAACCATAAAAAATCTTCAAGCATTTGAAACTCGATAAAGTATTTTTTTTAATTTTCTAACATCGAAATTGAAGAAATTCTGCTTAGAAATTGTTGTCAAGTTCCATGATTTCTGTCTCCATGATGTCTGTACCATGATTTCTGAATACATATGAATCTTATGATATCTAACTAGTATTTTGAAAAGGCAAATTTATTTATTAAGTTGTTTGTGCCACATTGTGACATT